CTGGAACCAACTTCCAAGTGAAGTGGTGCTGGCTCCTACCCTGGGGGTCTTTAAGACAAGGCTAGACAATCACCTTGCTGGGGTCGTTTGACTGCAGTACTCTTTCCTGCCATGGCAGGGGGGCGGACTTGATGATCTGCTCAGGTCCCTTCCGACCCTACTAACTATGAAACTATGAAACCTCAACCCCTATGGTGCTTAGGCCCGCATTCTCTGCCTCTCTTGGGCTCAGGCCTCTGTCTTTTTAACTGTACCTCCAACTCCTTCCCGGCCCATCCAAGGCCTAGGCCTCTGTCTTCTGGCTCTCTGGGCTCACGTTTCATTACCTCCAACAGACTCTGCTCCTAGGCTATGGGCCCCCTGGCCCTGCTTGTTTTTGCTCCTCTTAGCTTATAGGTCCCTGGCCCTGCTTGTTTTTGCCCCTCATGGGCTGCAGGTCCCTGGCCCTGCTTGTTCTTGCCCCTTGCAGGCGGTGGGTCCCTGGCTCTGCTTATTCTCACCCTTTGCAGGCTACAAGTCCCTGGCCCTGCCTGCTCTCATCACTCTGCAGGTGCAGTCCTGCTTCCCAGCCTTGGCTCTTATCTCTTGGGCCCTGGCCCCGCTCCCGGGCCAGCTGATACCTCTACCACCCCTGGTCTCAATTTCCAAACCACCGGTCTTTCTTACCCCAGCTCAGGTGTTACTCAGGAACCCTGCTGCAACCCTTCTGCTCAGGAGCTCTTCTTTCCATGGCTTCCAGGTCATACTGTCTGCCTAGCTCAGACCCTGAGTTCATATCCTGCAAGTCGTGTCCCTTTTGGATCATGTGGCTCCCTTGACTGGCCTGTGCTGCACCTGGAGCCTGCTTCTCCTTCATACTGCCTTTCCTTAAAGCAGCAGGAGCACCTAGTTTTATTCCCAGCCTATTGTAGCTTTGTTCTTATCAACATTAGTCCGTATACAAATTATTGGCATAAACCTGCTAAGTGGCTTGATGTACATATATAGCTCAATTATGCTAATTTTTATTAAGGAATGTTAATAGCAGATAACTGTTAACACTGCAGTCTCAATTTTGTTACCTGTTATGTAAGTCAGGGCATCCCATGGTATTTTTTCTTCTTGACAGTAAAGGTTTAGGTTCAGCAAGGCACATTCTCTGTCACTGTCATTGAATTCATAGCAGATGTTCCAGCCAAGAGGTCCAAATTTTTTCCTCTCCTTGAATATTAAAAGCAAAATTAGATAAACTGACTTTACTCAGGGTACCCAGAGCTATTCTCCTACATAATAGTTGTACTGTAGTTTTGTTTTTATTTTGCAATTTAATCATATGTTAAAAGAAATGATGAAGGACTAGATAGAGCTTAAGGCACAGCCCTGAACAGGTGGTTTCACTGCCCTGTGAGTAGCTGCTGGAAGCACTTATCCCCTCTGAATCAGTAAATTCCAGCTGGCCAATACTATCTGCAAAACTGCAATGCCCCCTGCAGTAAGTCAGCTGAGCTTTGGTTCCAATCATTCTCTACCCATTACTGTGTATGAAAATGTAAATGATTAGTTCTTAGCCACTCAGGTAAGATTCTGAGACAGTCCTTCCCTGCCATAACAGATTTATCTCCTAACTTTTAATCTCACTCTTGTTTGGAAAGTTCATGTAATTCAGAATAGTGCATAATCTTTCAAAATAATTCAATTTGATTTTTTTTCTCTGAGATAAATGCAAATGATCCATTCATGAATAATCTGACAGCAGCAACCTGAAAAGCTAAAAAAGGGGAAAAAATCAGTAAGTAAACAGATTTTTCCTTCATGCTTCCAAAAAGATTTAGTGACAAGTAAGGCCCCATAGAGACATTCAGTTTCTCTTGGGAGTCACTGCCCTCCCAGGAAAAACCATGGGTGCAGAAGTGGTCAGGTTTTTTCTTCCAGGGTAAAAATGGCCACTCCAAGAGAAAAATAACCCGGGAACAGTCAGGGTTAAATCACTCCCAGGAGAGTTTCTCCTGGGGCAGCCAATGTCTGTACATGCCATGGGTTCTGCCAAAAGAGAACATCCTCCAGCATCTCCCCTTCACCCTCAGGGAGACAGTGTGTCATTTGCTGATGATGGCCTGCCTACCTGTTTCTGGGCCAACCTCCCGCCTCTCTCTCCTGCCACGCCTTGATGCAAAAATGATTGTGATGTTACTTAGGCGGAAAGCTGCCATTTAAGACTTCGATGACAAGGGGTGATATCCCCAGCTCCGAACCTTCCCCTACACTGGGCCCATGCCTCGCAGATTGCATCCCAGGCAGCTAAACTGACCTCTACCCTTCTCCCTCTCTGGCTGTGGTCCCCTCTCTGGGACCTCTGGCTCCCTCTTAGGCCCTGGCCCCGCCCTCGGGCCAGTCAGACTCCCAAGCCTCTTCTTCTGGGCATCCCCCGCAGTGGGCCCCTGACCCTTTTGACCACCCCCTTGGGTCCTGGCCTCAACATTAACCAGTCAAGGGTCCAGTCAATCAGGTCTGAGCAGCTTGCCTTCTCTCCCTCAAAATTCCACTGGATCAAGTGAGCCTCAGGTCTCTCAAGGATATCACTGGCCTGGGCTTTCCCCAGCCAGGACTGCGCAGGGGCTAGAGGTTATCAGGTACCCCCTACCTGCCTTTCACCAGGGAGGTTCATGGTCCTGGCATTTCCTGGGGCTGCCGCACCACCTGAAGTCCCACCAGGCCTCCCTACCCCGGCAGGGTGCAGTTTCAGGTCATGACCAGAATTTGGGGCTTCCTTAATCCCCATAGCCCTGGCCCATATACCTCCAAGTTGTTCGTGGCCCTAAGAGCTCAGCAGGGATATGTTCTTTCCCTCTGGCTGGTCTTCAAACTGCTCCCCCTTAGCACAGAGAGCTGAGCATTAAATGGCCACCCTCATCAGACACCTGACATCTCCCTGGCCTAGACCTTAAAGTGGAAGGAACCAACAGTGCCCTGCCACAGGCAGGTATCTATCTAAAAATTATTTTTGTCCATCGTTAAATTATGAATACTATTCACTCAGAAATTCCTAAAGTTACTGGACAAAACCTGAAGCCCGTATTTAGGTTTTATTGAACTCTTTCTCAAGAAAAGTTTTGTTAACTTTAATGGACATTTGTCTGACTAATGATTGACCAAACACTAAGCAAAAGGTTCTTGTTCTGTACCTATTTAAACATAGTGTTGTTCAGTTTTTCAATAATCAGGCTGAAAGTGGAATAATGAAATCAGCACAGTTCCTTTTCTAGTGCCATCAGGTATCCCTCTGAAAATTCAACTTAGTGTGAGCTAATTCAGTTTAAAACCTTCAGAATTAACCTTCAGAATGGATTGTTGGTTAACTGGAATTCCCCATAAATGAAATGTCTGCTCCAGCAGAAACCTCCAGAGACATAGGTATATTTGCAATAATTAATATGTAGCTGACATTTAAATATAGACTTTTGGAAGGAAACAATTATAATCCTAATTCAATTATATTGAATTATAACTAGTTTAACTGAGACGAGAGGCTTTTTATTAGTAAAAGAAATGTAAATGTCTAGTTTCTTAAAATTAAAGCTAAACTATCTTTGCAGAAGCTTGCTATCCCTACTGTACAGCTAAGAATAAATTAGACACATTCTAAATAGATTAAGTGAACTAATTTTTAATTACACTTCAGTACCTCTGAACTAATAATATAAGTTATACCTGGATAATAGCATGGAAGAAGCAAATGCCAAAAATGATTTTTCTCCATTTTTTGCCAAGGATATTTTCCTCAAAAAATGTAGTCGTCATTTCTGTAAATGCTCTCCTGATATTTGCACGAAGTCCCTTTGGAGGCTCATTGGTTACCTAGATTTAGAAAAATAACCATTTCTGGTTATATATTCAAATCTGCTTTCCATTTTTATACTGCAGTGATGTCAAGCTAATATAGAAACAGTTATCTGCACATAAGCTGCATTTTTTACACAGTGGAGGCTCATCTACATTATGCTTTAGGTTTTAACCAAATGAGCAAGCTGATTATTTACCCTAGGAAATATATGGAAATAAAAAGATATATTATGAAAACAAGGAAATTTGGAGCAGAAAGAAATTGGAAATGAAATGTATTGAAATAAATGGGTATAAATATGCAACAAATTAGCAAGAGGAGCGATTGAAATGAGTGCTGTTGAGTAAACACTGTTGCTATTTAAGTGCCTTATTTAGATGTAACAATTTCCAGCTTCTGAATCCTGGTTCAGTAGGTTGTCCTATTTATCAGAAAGGGTGGCCACCCAACACCCACCAATATCTTTATTTAAATGGACTAGAGTTATAAGGTGCAATAGGGACAGCTGAATTTAGCTGTGAGTTCTGCTAGAAGTTTGTCCTTCACTCCTGATGCTGCAGGATATTCTATTTGCTTTGTCACTGGCTCCTTTTGTGAAAAGCCACAGCTTGCAAGTCTTACATATTTTTGGACTACGCTGCAAGTTGTTTACTACTAGAAGGGGAAGCATAAAATTCCTGGCTGGTGCTAGGTACAAGTGTTTGCTATGATACTGGGCCTGCCACCTTTGTAATATGGCCATTTGGCTAAGATCAAGTGAGACCCAGCCAGCTGGGGGGGGGGGGCGGCAACAACAGACCAGCAGCATGGCAGGACCACAGACTGCAACTGCAAAGACAAACCCGGTGCCAACGCTATGACTCGGCAGCAGCCTCCCACATCCGGAAGCTATACCAGGCCAACCATCCCAAGGTGGTGAGAGAGATCCTGGAGGGTCCCTCAGCTTTCTGCCAGGTCCCCCAGGAGACTTTGTTTACCTATTCCAGCAGGGTCTTCAACCCACCAGCAGAAGCCGCCGTCCCGTGCCCTGCGACCATTGAAGCTCTGCTCCCTGGCACCCCTGCAGAGGGGTTCAAGGATGCCTTTACGCCACAGGAGGTGGAGACCTGGCTCAAGAGAACCAGGGACACCGCTCCTGGCAGGGACAGCATCAGGTACAGCCTCCTGAAGAAGCACGACCTGGGCTGCCATGTTTTCTCTTTTCTCTTCAACAGGTGCAGAGAGTTCCAGCGCATGTCCATCACCTAGAAGAGGGTCATGATGGTCCTCATTCACAAAAAGGGAGACCCAACAAACCCGGGAAACTGGAGACCCATTGCCCTGTGCTCCACCATCATGAAGCTGTATGCCAGCTGCCTGGTAGCTCATATCACCGATTGGGCGGTGAACGGCGGAGCCATCAGTCAGAGCCAGAAGGGCTTCATGTCAATGGAGGGCTGCTACGAACACAACTTCACCCTCCAAATGCCCCTGGACAATGCCCAGAGAACCTGGAAGCAGTGCGCAGTGGCGTGGCTGAATATCTCCAATGCCTTCAGCTCTGTGGCCCACCGACACATCCTCAACACCTTTCACGAGCTCAGCCTACCAGACGGCATCACCAACCTGATGTGGGAGCTCTATGACAGGTGCACCATGACTGTCCAAGCCACCAATGGAGTGACTGACCCCATCCAATCAGGGGTGAGACAGAGCTGTCCCCTCAGCCCCATCTTTTTCAACTTGACTATGGAACCGCTCCTTTGGGCTGTGGTGGGCGGCCCCAGCGGGCTTAACCTGTGTGGCCAGAAGTTGAGCATCCTGACCTACACCGATGACCTTGTCCTCCTCGTGAACAACGCTGCCCAGCTGCAGCAGATGCTGGACATGACATTTGAGGCGGCCAGGTGAATGGGTTTGCGCTTGAACATCGCCAAGTGCGCCTCCCTACACATTGATGGCAGGCAGAAGAACCACATCCTGGACTCCACCCTCACAATCCAGGCCCAGGCGACGAGGCACCTGTGTGACGGCAAGGCCTATTGCCACCTCAGCATGCCCACTGGCCATCGGGCCAAGCAGAAGCTGGAGGAGACCATCAATGGGATCATGCAGGACTCCCACAAGCTAGATTCGTCCTTCCTGGCCCCCTGGCAGAAGATAGACACAGCAAATGCTTTCCTCATCCCCAGCATCTCGTTCATCCTGAGAGGCTCAGTGGTCCCGAGGACCCCCCTCAGCAAGGTGAACGTCAAGATCCAGTGGCTGCACCTGCTGCTCAGTGCCAGCAATGAGATCCTGCACATCCCCTACCAGCAGGGAGATGCCAACATAACCTGCATGGGAGACCTCTGCGACTTTGCGGTTGTCACCCATGTTTTCCATCTTCTGACCTGCCTGGACCTGACAGTAAGTATCACTACCAGCACTCTCAAGGAGACCACCCACAAGAGGATAGTGAGACAACTCACTAGACTGACTTGGCCACCATCCTCAGCAGCTCGCTAAAGGGCGAGTTTGGCAGAGACGGCGGGGACTTTGCCTCGCTGTGGAGCCGAGCCCGCAATGCCACATGCCACTTCGGGAAACAGGTTGGCTGCACCTGGACCTGGACTGAGGCGTGCCAGGAGCTGGGAATACCTCTGCAACCAGCCCCACACGCTGACTGTGTCACCATGACGCCCAGCATGAGGACCTTCTGATGAGGAAAAGTACTGGGGCAAGCGAAAATAAAGTTAAGCCATAATAAGGAGCGTAAGTAAAGGCCGAAAAACAAAGGGGCCTTGAGATAAAACTTATTGGGAGACAGCTAGAGAAAACACGTTTACTCTAGCAGGACTCCAGGGTGATTTATTGTCAGACTGCCAAGAATGTATTAAGGGGAAGACTTCTGTGTGTCTTTTTCTCACAAGTATATAACAGAGTCTGGACTCTGCAGCTGCAGAGAATTAGCCGCCCTTGCTTCTTCTCCCGTGGCCATGTAAAATAAAGTAAAGCGCTCTGTTAGCCAAGCAGTGATCCTGTCGTGATTTCCACATCATCTTGGGGGCTCGTCCGGGATGTGTCCTCACACAGACCGCCCTGGGTAGGACCCCCGTCTTGGCTCTTCGACTCCGTCGCTCCGAGAAGGCTCTCCTTGACCCAGTTCTTCAGCTCTGTGGCTTCGACACTGCAGACCCTGACCTGTCATCTGCCTGCTTGGCTTTGCAGGAAAAGTCCCTGGCCAGGGTGAGTACCTGTCTGCTTCGGTGTCTGTAAGTCCTAGGTGTGACAATGGGTAGTGGGACGTCTAAGGTCCCACAGTGGGATCCCGGCCGGTTTATGCATCTAAAATATGGTCTCCAGTCAACTCAATACTTAGCAAAATGGAATCAGTATACCAATGATGAGCCTAAGTTACACTGGCCCTTAGATGGGTCCTGGGATCACCAAATTCTCAAACACCTCTGGGGAAATTTGGAAAGCAAGCACCCCGTTCAAATGGAAGCCTGGTACCTATGGGAAGATGAGTCCAAAAAGCGCAATAAGCGCTCCCTTATGGCTTTCTATAAGGAAAATGAGGAAAAATTTAAGAAACAGATTGATCACCTTCAGAATCAAGTTAAGAATCTCCAGTGCCAGGGGCCGGCCCCGCCCGTCCGCTGTTCACCGTATCCAGCCAGGCTATACCCAGTCATGCCTCCACCGCTGGACGATCCACCTCGAGATGACTTGTTGGATCATTGGTTTCCACCCCCACCGCTGCCTCTGGCCCCTGTCCCACCACAACTTGCTCTGGCTTTTACTCCGCTGCCGGTTGCTGGTCCTGCAGCCTCAGATGCTGCTGCATCCGCACCAATTTCTCCGATAACTCCACCGACACTTGCCTCTGGCTCACTGCCTCCTGTTACTACTCTCACCTTTAATTCTCCCAAGGGGGACCAATCTGAGGTTACTGTTCCCTTGGACCCTGTAGACAGGTGGACCATAGATTCAGCTGCCCTAGACCAACATGACTCCCCAGTCAGATTGACTCTGAGGAATTGCTGCAATGCTACCACTGACATAGACACAAAGGGAGCCATTGTAAGAAAGATTACTACTCAGCGGGCCGGAAACCTTGCTGTGGCACAGTATCCTCTCCAAGAGTACCCTGTGCCGGCGGGGGACAATTTGTGGTAGTCCACGTCCCCTTCTCACCCTCAGAAATCATTTCCTGGTCAACTACTTTCCCTAAGCTCTGTGAAGATCCTACTGGGTTTGCTCACAAGCTTAAAACCCTTTTTGAGGTCTATAAGCCAACTTACAGTGACATTCAGATGCTCCTCAGTGGTCTTCTCTCTGGAGACCAAAGGGACACCCTCCTCAAAGAGGCCCATTGGCCTGCTCAGGACCCCGGCAATGCCAGTCTGCGGAACCTCTATAAACAGGTCCTAGACGCTGCCCCTAAGGTTTCCCCGCAAAAGACAGACTGGTCCAAAATTTCTATGTGTAAACAGAAGCTAGAAGAACACCCTGCCGATTACTATTCTCGCCTGATCCAAGTCTTTAAGGCACATTCTGGCAATGAAGACCCAGAAGCTAATCTCTCTGCTGTGATCATCCAGACCTTTGTTTTAGGGCTGTTACCAAAGATATTTGAGTCCCTGCAGACCACTGTAATTGGATGGGGAGCTAAACCCATCACCAAAATTCTGGCTGCTGCCACTCATTTCTATACTAAAGCTCAGCAGCAAAAATCAAAGGCTCAGGAAAAATTGATGGCTCTGCAAATCAGAGACCTTCAAGGTGACACCGGACCCTGGTGCTCTACTGGATCATTTCGCTCAACCCGGCCACCCGGTCCCTTTGACATTCCTAATGATGTCTGTCACTACTTCAAACAGAAAGGTCACTGGAAGAATGAGTGCCCAAATAGACCCCGGGGGCCCCCACTCTCAGCTAGTGCCCCTCCATTTCAGCCAGGTGCCCGCCGAGCTCCACCGCCTGGATCAGCTCCTCTCTAGTCCTTCGAAGGTGAAGATCAGTGTTAGGACAGCTGAGAAAACCCAGAGAC